AATAAACTATGAGCTCTGCTAGAGGACAAGTTCACACCATTTTGAATTCCTGCAATAGTCTTTGCAATGCTGAATAGACAAATGCTTCCAACGAACTGAAAATCAAGAAAATTCATGTGAAGTGTTTTGTCTCTTCATAGCATCAACAGGTTCAACAAACTACAAATATATTGCTGTTGTACTACAAATATAGTGGATTGTACTGCATGAAATATTTACCTTGCAATCACTGATGCTGTTGTACACTTGGTTAAATTCCCGATTGAAAGTGTGAGTAAGAAGCTGCAGACACTACGGTGGGGAAGAAAAACAAACCACACAAAGAACAGAAATTTACATTTTAGATTTTCAGACAAATCTGAACACAAGAGGCAATTTGCCAAGACACACTTGGCAGCTTCTGAAAGAATAAACAAACTCTAAACTGCTGTGAAAAATCCCAGAAGAAGAGGGGAATAATAATTTCCCTTGATAAAATTCAAAAATTTCATTTACAAAATGAATTTACAGAATGAAGGGGAATGAGGTACAGCCATAGCACAAACCTAGCCATCAGCATTGGCTGGTGAGGATGGATTATTTCAGTATAGAGCATATTAAAATAAAACTCGCACAACACTGGTTATTCAACATGCTATCCGAGAAGCTCATCATTAATTTTTAATCATCTTTGACATCTCAGTTTAGACCCATGATGCTTTTTTCATGTTATACCTTGGTGGCCAGCTCCTTCTCCCGATCCACCAGGCTCTCTATATCTGCTGAGTCATAGCCACTGCTCTCACTGGGCGTCACAGCACTCTCAAATGTTGTAGTTGACATCTGTGAGGAAATGCTGGTGGAGGTACTGAGGGTTCCACTGCTCAAACTAGGAGACAATGAGTCACTCAGGGACTTGGGGATGCTGTCACCAAGCTTTTCACGAAGCAGAAGGAAATGTCGGGTCTTTTCCACCTAGTCAGAAAAGAAATCAGTATCATCTGCTCCAGGATGTTGTTTATTGTACAGTTATTCAATTCTTACGCATTCTTTTAAGATTCATACCAGTAAACATTTTCCTTACAGGAAAATTTCCTCACAGAGGTTACAATCACACTAGAAGATGAACTCTGCCTTTGTTGAATACACTGAGATTCTGAGCTGGAGATTCTACTCAGCAGCCAGACACAGACTTTCTATCTTTTCTGCTGGAGAATTTATTTAAATCTTGACTTTGAGAACAAACTCCCATTTTGGAACCCATTCAGCTCAGAAGATCTCACAGTGGGTAGACTAAAAGCAAATTCAAAGATAAGGCTGTGCTTTTTCTTTACTTCCCCTATCTCTTTACTCACCTCATGCAGCAGCTCCAGTTTCTCCAGTTCCCACTGATGCTCTAGAATGAGGCTGTCACCCCTGGGCCTCCAACCTGCCAGGTTCTCTTCTCCTCGTACATATGCGACAGATGTATCCAGGACTTTCCTCCTCCTCCTCTGCATCCCTGAGCAGTCAAAAACAACATAAGATATTAAAAACATAGTCAGAGGCATGCCACTAAGAAACACTTACCAATTACCAACCTGCAAACAACCAACACTTCTGCTGTTTGGCTAGAAAAATACAAGGCAGTGATTTCATTAACAGCAATCACACATCCCAAAGAGATTTATTTAGTCCAGCTTTCTTACTTCATTCAGATTATTTTCTGTTGACCACCATATAATGCAAACTTAATGCAAGAACTTCAATTGCTAGGTCTTGGAGTACTACTACGTGAACTACAATCCTTCCAAGTTATTAAGCTTCCATCAGATATCAGCAACATCTTCAAAAGACCAAGAGAAAACTCTATCACTGTAAAAACAAGTCTCAGCTGTGTTAGTCATGAGACATGTATTATGCCCCCTAAGTCTGTGACCCAGGTACATGCCCAGTTTCCTGACGTACTCATGCCAGAAAATGTAAAGTTTTCAGTGAATCCTTGACTCGCCAACAGTAAACACAGACCCCAAGTTGAAAGTAAAAGCCCGTGTTGAGTTTTTTAATGGAATGGCAATGTTCCATTGCTCCTATGAAACACAGGAACTGCTTCCCATCAGGACAGAAGTGTTTACTCTGTTCTGCCTATGAAATTTTCTGCAATATTTCAGCATCTTTATCACTTGAACACCCAGTTGCTGCTTACCTGGACTTCCTGTGTCTGCCATTTTGCATAAACTTAGTTCATAGATCCCAGTTACTCGATTGCTGTTCACAAGAAACCAGAGGGTAAAAAACAAAACTATTACCTTCAGAAATAAAGTGTATCAGCTTCAGTTAAGTGATCCTCAAATTAAAAGTTTAAATATAGATGTTAGGTAGAACTACACGTGAATTCTCATCTTGACATAAAATAGCCAGGACAGACTGCAACATCTCTAAAAACATCATTTCCTCCATGTTTCCCACCCTCCCTCAGACTCAGGAGAGCAGCTGCTGCAGTAAATTCCAAGTCAGGATCAGGGTCATCCATGTGCAAGCTTGAAAAATGGATCTCTTTTCCCAGCTGTTCAGTCAGAAGGCTGGAAGTGGGGTCACTAAAGAGAGAAGCTATCAGTGTTTCACTGAAATAAATGCAAGCAAGAATGTTCAAAATCAGACTGGAGACCTATAACTAGGTAGATTTTCAAGAAAGAAATAATGAGAACTAAGCTACATTCTCCCCATGCCCTCTAAGAGAAAAAGCATATGCTGAGATAAAACACTGATACCAAAGTTGGTAACTGAACTTACGAATCTGGAGATTTGGAGTAGCCACTGCCAAAGAGATTGCGCAGCGATCGTGGTGGGGAGATCTTGGCGTCTCGTGAGTAAAAGACCATACAAACATCCTTTGTTATAACAGCAGGCTGGATGCAGTGGTCAAGCTAAGAGAAAAAACAGCAATGAATGAGTGGCTGCAGACAACTACGCCAAGTTACGCTGCTTCCCTCTTTTAGTGGGACAGCTTTTTGAAATTTGTTCTTGTTTGAGTCTGTGGTGAAGGGTTTTCGTGTGTGTTTCTGTGAAAGAAAACTGGCACATTTCCTGATGCATCTCATGGGTGAAATGATTGTACTACACAAAACAACAGTGTCTCGCATGCAAAGCCAAGAGCTAGGCCAGTGTTTGTAACACTAGTAGTACTTACATAGCAACGTTCACTGATTTCAATGGATTTTCAGATACAAAAATACATAAAATGAGGCACAGAAAGGTATGGAGATCACCAGTTTCACTTCACATTTGTTGTGAGGCAGCAATACCTTGACATCAAGATGTTAACTGTGAATAAATTTTTCCACCCTGCTCTCAGAAAACGAATAAAGACTTTCACTGGCCTCACAATTCAAAATCACGCAGTCCAGTAAGTATTAACCTCTGGTACATGCTGTCTACTGTCTCAAATAGTTATACTTGAGTCACAAGCAAAAAGGAAGGCACAGGTGTCTAACCTCCAGGTAAGCAGAAAGGGTCATATATATCTTCTCTCCATACGGTGTGACTCGATTGAGGAGAAGGGAGTTATGCAAGGAGCTATCCCAAACCGCTTCAAACCGATAGAAAGTCCTGGAAAAAAGTACAGTAAAAGCTCAATAGTAAGAGTTCCTCTGCATCCCCCTCATCGGCCAGTGTAAAGCAGCTTTTCCTTGACATCATCCACTATGACTGTTACTGATCTCAGTGGCTTAGAGCAAAGACCTTCTCTTCTTTCCCAAGATTACTTCTTCCTCAAACAGTGTGGCATGAGAGACCGCTGTCTGTTACGAAAAAGACTAATCTAAAATAGAAAAGACGGAATATAGAAGAGAACAAAAGCTGTCATCACCCTACAGGGAAATCAGCATTAAAGAACACTGTTTCTAAATAGACAGAATTCCTCTCTACTGCTTCAGGTGCAGTTCAGCCCAGCTGGACCTCCAAAGTACGTGGGAAGATTCTTTTTTATAAGCAACACTCATTCTACACCATATTTTAGGACTAACATATAGCAACAGAAGAGATCCATCTAATATGAAACTAAATAAAATATATAAAATCTTTATATGTCATATAAAACCAGCAGCTTCTGATAGCAAATCAGAATGATTGAGAGGTAGGGACAAGTCCTATATTCAAGTGATAAAGATTTCTATGTCCCTACTAGCTTTAAGTAAAAACCTGCAGATCTAACACAAAGTTTTGTAAGATGTTTCTTGGTACATGGAAAGAGCTGAAGGCTCCCACAGTTCTACCCCAGCAATCAGGAGAGTTCATCTGTTCCAGTAAGAAGTGAGAGACAGCATTATACACAGGACAGCTAAAATCATCACTCCCTCCGCTCTAACAGAGGCTTAGGAAAATAAGCTTTCTCCTTTCTCACAGGAGAGACTGACTGCACGTAGGTTCCTTTGGAAAGAAGTCCTACACCCTTACTCAGGAATACAGCACACTTTGCAGTTTTCTACACTGGTAACAGAAAAAGAAGATGTTAATTCTTCATTACCTCCATATGATTTCCCCCCAAATCCCCTTGCCTTGAGGTTTTCCATTCCATTTCAAGCCCAAATGATGTAGTACTAAAAGCAAGAAAGTGCTTCATGTATACCATTTTTCAAAACAAGTTATATCTCTAAAGAGCTTCTGTACTAATGCCCAAGGCCAACTCAGAAAAATAGAAAATTAAACCAAAGACAAATGACAAAAAGCAGTGTGGGGGTGGAATGAAGAAGTAACAAAAAACAAAACAAAAAAGAAACATGAAACAGCCTAAGAGCAGACATATCAGAAACAAAGAATTCTGATCTCAAATAGAGTTGCCAAGAATCCCCTTTTCCTGATACCAATTACACAATTCCAAACTAATACATTGAGACACTATGAACTGTGCAGTCAAGTAATACAGTTTCAGAATATTGCTAAATACTCTTTGTATTTGAATTTTTTAAAAACTTTTAGCAAGCTCCAGATCTACTACCTAGTAGCTTCGAGACAGTTACTAAACTGGATTTTGTCTAGCCAGGAAGTTAAATATACGGTTTTGCCTGTCCAAACCAGAACTTGCAAAAATAGTTATAGAGGGAGACAAAAAACAGAAGCGAGCAAACTTTTTTCAGCATAGCCAACAGTACAAGTAATAAAATGCAGCACAAAACAAGCAAAGCAGAGGAAACAGGAGAAGCAGGTTAAAGGCATCAATGTATAGTTAGAACTGATTTTTAAGTGGATTTTAGCATTAGTAAAAAGTGGTGAATTGAGAGCACTGAAGATCTGCTTGGCTGTGATCCAATGTGGTAGGTGAAAGAGGAATCCAGTTTGAGCAGCTACTACGTGTCTTGCTTCTCTGCCAACTGGTAAACTAAGAAGTAGCAACCACATGGTTAAATTTCAGATGCAAATCCAACCTTAGAACAGAGGTTGAACACCAGTCACATGGCAGCCACTGCTTTTTGTTCAATGCAATTCTGAGCTGGAATTTCAAGTAACCTAATCATTCAGTCCTTGACTTGGTACTTCAAACACAGCAAGCATTACAGAGTCAGGGACAGTAAGAAATTCAAAATTTAGTTCTTTGATACAGAACAAAGGAAGAAAATAGCAAGGATTACAAATAGCTACTATATTCTGATGGCATATTTTGAGACTCAAAGACTAAATGAAGAGCTTCTCCCTTACATGTGAAGAAAAGTTTACCTTCACAAGTCCCCCACTGAATTGTACCTAAATAAACTGCTGACACAAGGAAGAGGAGGAGGAATACTACTTCTGGAATTGCTAAGAGGTGTGCTAATAGAATTCAGTAAAAGCTAAAAGGGAAGTGGTAGCAATACAAATGGGACATAAAGCATTCTATTTCAAGAATCTTTATGTACAAAGGAAGCAAACAGAAAATACCTAGGCATATCCTTATCAAGAAAGAGCCTGTAAAAACATAGAAAGAGCTTCAGTTAGTGCAGCCAAAAGCAGAACAGAAAAACAACAGCTGAGAGGAACAGAACAAGTGGACTTGAAAAAAACAAAACAAACAAACAAAAAACAACATCAAAAAAACCCCAAAAACCTTAACAACCAGAAAACAAGTCTGCAGACAAGGAGCAAACATAAGACGCATCCCTTACCAGGGCTTCAATCCCACTCCACCACCCTGCCACCACGTATTCGTCCCACAACTTGGCATTCTGGCAAGAGTTGGTCAACAACTTCACTTACACTCATCTTTCATCCAAGTGGTCCACCCAATGGAAACTACAGAGCTATATAGGAAATGCTGGAAATTGCTAGAGAACAGAAAGTATAGGGCTTTTCAACTGCAAATCTAATAGTATCAGACTGAAACTAGCAACAGTCCCCTTACGTTCCAGTTACGCTGATCTGCCAATTCAAAAACACTAAAAGTAAAATACCCACTTCTTAGCAGGAGACAAAGAGTAACTGTTCACAAACCCTATCACTGCATTTACAGACACTAGGTGGCAGGAAGACATTCAGTTGGTAGGAGCACTGTCCTGAATCCACCTTTAACATCACAGTGGTATTTCAAAGTCCAAACCTCTAATGGAGAAGGAAGAAGCCATTTCAGTGCCTAGGAGGATACTGCCCCCAGCATTCATCAGCTGCAGCAGAGATGGGCTCCAAAACAACCCGTTCCCCTCCAGAAACACTCATTCAGAGTTAAATTTCAGAGATATTCCTGCTTTGCACGAGCTAAACAGAGCCATGGAGTGGTCAAGTGACTTGGCTGATGTCAGAGCAGGGAGAGGCTGTACCGGCAATGCAGCATTCTGCTTCACTGCCCTTTGTTGCAGACACTGAAGCAAAACAATGTGGAGTCTGACTGATCTTCACAGCAATTCACCCTAACGAGGAGACACACGCAGCCAAAAACCTCTCAGACAGGGGCCCTGCTGTTGCCCAAATGACTGCAGTTACATGGAACAGATACCCCCTTATTAGAACTGCAGTCAATTTGTGATATAGCTGTATAAATCCACAAATTATGAAGTTTAATTTACAAAGCATGTTTCTTGCTTAAATTGTCACAGGCTTGTTCCAGGAATAATATAGGTATGTACACATCCAAATATATCCCCTGAGAATGACCTTGTACTTCAATGCTGTATTCTAGCACCAAACCTCGGTGTCAGTTTAAAAGTTTTGGGTTAAATTCTGAGGCTCCCTAAGCTGTTCCTTTCATTACTCTCTTTATGGTGCTTACAAATGGAAAGTAATTCAAACACGTTCTCAAGAAATCCTCCACGTAGGCCAGCAGACTTCAGCTTTAGCAAGAATTTATGGTAATGCTTGTTCTCTATCTGTATGCCCTGTGCCCATGGAATTCTACACTTAATAATTATCAACATTCCCAGCTTTCCAAACATCCTGCCAATACCTCAGAGGTCAAAGAAATTTTAGATTCCTGCTAGAATGCTCACTTTAGTCACTTACTTATTGGAGCTGTGAGAGGACTTCAGGTATTTTGCAGAGATAATGTTCAAAGACAGAATAGCATCCACAGCAGCTTCATCTACCTCTGCTTTATTTCTTATACGTCCTGAAAAGAGTAGGAGGGAGAATCAATTAAAACTAAACCTGAAACACAGAAGAAATCTGTATTCCCAAATACCATTTCAGACTATGATTAACAAGCAGCTGTAAGTGGAATTTGCAAAACTTAAGCAGATCCTCTGGATCTCTTCCAAAATTCTCCTCTCCCAGCCAATACTCATACAGATGACAATCTGATACAAAGAGAAATTACCATTAGTATATTTTCTTACCTAGCAACATGCAAAACAATACTCACCAACAACCAGCTCTCGCACATCTTTCCAGTGCAATTCATTGCCCTTCTCATGGATAATGGTGACTGTGATTCTACGCTGGATTCCCTGGTAGAGTTCAAAAACAAAACACTGGTGAAATATTCACACACATACACATAATCTATTTTGCACTTACACTGCAAAAATGAAACAAGTACAGTAAGAATCTGAGGTAACAAACTTATAAACAATATTTAACTAGGATTATCTTCAGAACCCAGCTAAGGACAAATTATTACATTAGTGTTTGTGATTAACTACGGGCATTTAAAATGCACTGAAACATGGTCACTGTGTAGATCTTTCTTATAGCCACATGCAGTGAGAAAGTTGAGTCCACTTGATCCTTCTGTGTCCTTGGTAGAGATGTTAAGAGAGCACTGAAGGTACAAATCTAGTCCCAAAGGTTTGTGCTTTCTAAAAGGCTTTCATCTTTCATGAGTGGGAAGCACGCTGATAAGCAAAGGAAACAGCAATATACTAGGGGCCAAACGTATTCTCCTCATAGCCCAGAGCTAACAGACTAAGTACAGAATGAAAGATGACTGACCCTACAGCTATCATCAGACAGCTGTGTGGGAAAGCAGAAGGCATGAAAGATGCAAACTCTAGTCATTAGCATTCTAACCATCTCCCCCAGAGATTAAACTTGCTGTTCTACAGCCTCCATTAGTACCTGGTGAAGCAGGAATGTCCCCTGGCAGGGCAGGCCTCCAGTGTGGTCCACAATAGCAGGAATATACCTGTGTGAGACAGTGAAATCAACACGCAGGAAAGATATACTAGCACAATGACTTTACACTGTATTCTGCGGCCAACAATTACCTCTCCATATAATATCTGAAGAAATAAGAGTGTTTCTACTGACTCTCTGACTGGACTCTATAGGACAACAGTATCAGTGAAATATAGAAATATCATATACTGTACTTCCAGTACTTCTGGAAAACTCTGTGCAACTCGCTTCTCAATATAATCCCTAAAGACCTGTCAGGGGAAAACCTTCTCTGTAGCAGAGGTGAACACAAAATAGGGCCTCTTAGGTGACTTCTGGAACATAAAGTCTCTAGTGACCCAAAGAATCTAAACCTATGGCCTACACAGGTAAGTTTTCCCAGCACCTGTTCAGCTGGTTTGCATGGGCTTTCAAACTGGAAAGGATAGTTCAAGTGAAAGAATGTCATTCTGTCTCTTCAGTCCTTTCCAATGGGGACAACAAATGCCAGCAGAACTTACACCCAATCACTACAACCCAGCCAGACACCAGCGTGACACAGGCCAGGCCACCACCCAGTAATGACTGCTAAACAGCAATCTTGTCTGAACAGAACAAAAGGTAAAAGATCAAACTCCCAGAAACCACTGTTCTTAAAAGATATAAGATTGTTATGTGACTTACTCCCCTGTTGGTTCCAATTCGCTGATCTCAAACCACACAAGGAGGTCGTATTTGCTCACACTCTGGCCCAAGCTGGGTTTGCTCATAGTATTTAGCTTTGTAGCTGGCACTTAAGAAAAAAAAGAAAAGAAAAAAAAAGAATGGTTTATAAAGACTGAAAAAGTAAAGCTTACCCTAGGGCTCACAGAAATATGTCAATCCTGGGTACATACGCAGACCACAACTTCTTCCATGAAAATGATGTTGCTTACAGCGATCATTATTTCTCAAAACATTTTTTTTAAAGTCTAAGTTACTACTTTTTAAAAAAAAAAAGTTAAATAACAAACCAAAAGGTTTTGTTAAAAAAAAAAAACCAAACAGAGGGATAACTGAAATTTTAGAACTAACCTGATATTCCTTCATGCATACTTACATCACACCTTTTAGCTATCATTACACCACTTATCTGTTCACTCATTTCATTTTTGTAAACAGTTTTGGGAACATTTTAAAAGCTTAATTCCTGTATACTCTGACAGCTGTTTTTGTAACTCTGCAATTGATTTTCCATTTTTTTCCTCCTTTCACATACTAACCTCATTGCTTTTATTAAGCCAAATAATTATTCTCCCTTCTAGCCTCTCAAGCCCCATTCTTCCCTTGCTCAAGAGTTCTTTAGGTTCTCCTATCATCACACACTCTGTGTATCCTTCAGCTTCCACCACAACTTAATTTCCCATGCACTGGGAGGGTATAACAGTCCCCAGTTAAGAAAAGACACAAAATGTGAATTCTGTTTCTTTTCTGGGTAAAATAGCAGCTACATCAGAGGGACAGATTTTACAAGAATTGGTTATTTACATCACTACAACTCAATCGTGCTGGGTAACAAGCTTCAGCGTCATCATTTACGCTTCCTATTCATTACTCAGAGTAGTCACTCTCTTATACCCATCACATCATGTAGCTGCACGTAACTCAGCACAGCTGGACTCAATGCTGTTGACAGCAAGAGGAACATCAAATACACAAGTCACTCAAGTTTACTACTAAGTAGAGAAGCAAAAAAGCACCAGAAGAGAAAAAAAACAACAGAAAGATACATTTAACTAAACATGAAAACTAGTTCTAGAAGTTCTCATGGACTTGCACAATTAACAAACAGCATGTCCTCCTTTTTTTTTTTTTGGTAATAAAACAGAATACAAATATAAGAGGAACTGCGCTGTTAGTGGCAAAAAAAGATGATGAGCAGAAAGGAAACCTAATATAGAACACAGCAGAATATTTCCTCTATGGTTAGCTGGTTTTTCATGTGTATTATCTCCCATATCAACTCTCACAAAACTTTGTACAGAACACACACAAAAAGCAGAGGTCCAGGAAGTTTCAGGGAGTAGATCCAGCGACACAGAGAAATCTGTGATACCTAGAGCACTGGCATTTATAGACTCTCTATATGGTTCTCTCTAGAATAGCCCTAAACTTAAGCACAGCATTGTCCTTTCATGACTGCAATCATGGCTGTTTCTAGTCCCAAGAATACTACATGATAAATATAATAAAAATTGACTTTTGAAGCATGTTTTGGAACTACTTCTACATCTACCATAGATCAAGTTTGGCTACTAACCATCTCGTTTAGGAGCCCGCTCACTCTCACAACTGGGAACAGGCAGAAAGAGAAAAGGTGGCAGCTGGTCAGCTCCATCCTGGAAAGCAGCCACAGCCGAGGATGCAAGCACGTTGGCATGCTCAGAGAGCGCGTTCAGCACATGCACGTTTACATAGCCAGACATAAGATACCTAATCAACTCAATTTTTCTTTCATGGTCTGCAAAGGGAATGGAAGACACACAAAAAAGGATGGTAGAAATATGCAGGTGAAAGAAAGCTGGAGAAGGAGGAAATAAAAGGTGAAATGGAAAAAAGCACAGAAGAGTTCAGCATGCATTATTACAATTAAACAAATAAAACCAAGGGTCATTTCAGTAAGACTGACTCACTCAAGAATGTTAGAGAGCAAAAAGATGAAGCGGTTAATGAATAAGCAAATCTCCAGTCAAGTGCTCAGTAAGCACACAAAGAGCCACAGCCAGATCTCATGGAATATGGTCAACACCTCAGGAATGAAATTCTATCCTTTTAATGAAGCACTTTCTGCAAGAGGAGGTGCAAAAGAACACATAAAAAGGAAGACAGCCAGCAAACACAGATCCAATGCCCTTTGCAACATTAATTCCATGACATTTCTTGGTGCCCTGAATAGCTATAACCTTCATTTTCAGTAGCAGACATGTGATGTACAGAATTAGAAAACTGTTCTCACCTGGCTTTGAGAGTGGCATAGGGGGAGGAAAGTATCTTCGGGAAGGCTGTGGAGGGCTATAGAGAAATGGGAAGAGTTATCAACACAGAGGCAGTTAAACATACAAAATACATACAAATACACACACATGCATGTTTGTACACACACACCTCCAGTACAGTCCTTCCACCCATTTTTGTCTCTAAAAATATCCTCACAATACCATGAAGACAGGTAAATATCACCTGTCAGGAAAACAAGTGGACTCAGCACACTTCTCAGACTAATCTGTGACCTTTTTCTATCCTAACTTAAATAATATTTTTTTTTCAGACAACTAGGATTAATTACAATTTCCAACTGCTCTACCTCCATTCCACACTGAAAATGCAGAATGCATCTGTAAATGCAGAATGTAAGCAGGTAACAGGCATTTCCCAAAATAACTTAAGGAAAAGGAACAAGTCTCAGCTGCCATTCCTCTTAAAACCAGCACATGCTTCCTCCTTGCAGCTGCTGCCTTCAGTAGGAGGGCTAACCAGGCCAAGCAATCCAGACAATAGCCTCTTCCCTTAAGCTATGAAGACAACAGGACTAGGGGTCCTTTCCCCGATTCCAAATATTCAAATACTCAGCAACTTTGGCACTAGTATGTCAAAATGCTGAAAACCTTTTGTTTTCCCACTAATCTCATCTCTCTTCTTTTGTTATCCCACCTTTATATATCAGGCCACTCACCCTGAGGGAACATTACATCTCAGAGCACTGCTAAGGTTTACCCAGAACTCACCAAGATTGCCACTGAAGTTCTGAGTACAATATTCTACCACCACAGTGCTCGTAGGGTGGATGTAGCTGGATTGGCAAAACAGCTTTCATGTTTGAGATGGCAGAACAATTCCATCACTCATTAACTAAAACATACTACACTGGGTAAACAAGCCTCTGCCAGCACTCTGGGATCAGTCAGGAATCCCACTCATGAGGGTGTGGCTGTGTAATTTCAGGAGTATGAAAAAGCACTGCCTGAACTGCAGATCTAACCTCAGCACGCTCACAAACAGCCTTTATGCCAGGAGAGTGAACAATACCTGTTGAGATCCTGTCCTTGCAGATGAAGAGGATGCTGCTGATAATGTCCAAAGACTTCAAACACAATAGGCTTTGTTTTGATGTACTCCACAAATGATTCTGTCACTTCAACAGCAATCTATTGGGCAAAGTAAGGAAAGAAAATGAAATGTACAAAAAGGAATTATTATAAGTGAGAATTTTAGGAGTCTATATTTGTCTCATGGTTTAACACCGCTCACAGTAACAGCAACTGCATTCCTTTTTGGTTTAGGCATTAATTGTACTCTCCAATAAAGGAGAAAATGAAATCCTCCATATCAGGCATTTTAAGTAGGAGAGAAGGAGGCTACACATAACCAAAGGATTACACAGTTCATAAAAATAGATATATTCAGCTCATCTGAGATCATGAGCACTGCTATTCACATGTACTTAATTTCCTGAATTCTAGACTGCTTTTACTGAACATCCTGGAAAGGAAACAGACAATTCAAAGGCAGGAAGTAGAGGTAAAACAGAAGAGTTAAATCTGCCACACAGAATCATTCTGTATTTTGTTCTCTGTTGGGGATTACATCATTCACCTGATCACTCCTCCTTCTGTCTATTCTTAATAATTCCCCTTGACCCCCCTCATTCCCATACACCTCTCATGAGTTTAACAAAGATACACACATCTCCCAGTGCTAAAACAGACATTTACTATTCACGTAAAGCTTTACTTACATTCTGAACATGGTAAAACCCAAGGGGAGTCCCTCGACCATTGTTTTTGAGAGGTTCTGTTGAGAAAGCTTCATCATGCCGATGTAAAAAGCTTTAAAAAAAAAACCAAAACAAACCACCAAACCAACAATAAAACTCCATAGAACAGTTGAGTGAATACTGCTGTACAGTGAACCCAACAATGAAAGCAAATTATTCTGCTAGAATTTCACAGGGAGTTAAGTGATGGCCTAAAGCTAGGATTACCCTAATCTTTGGGGCCACAATTCCTGTACTTGTTTTGTGTCTTTATTACTCCCATTTTTTGTTCTCTTTCTTAAGAGACTAAGCCAAATAACACTTTCACTTTAGAGCTACTGATTTAGTCCAGGGTCATACAGCTTTCATTCGAACTGAGCATATGTACAATCTAATATTAATTTTTTCACATTAAAAGCCATTATCAAGCAAAAATTTACGATATCTCTAACTAGTAACATAAGACTCCACTCTGAATTTTAATTCCTTTCTGCAAAACTTTATTCCTTAACACCATGCTAACACAACGCAGCTACTGCTCGTAACAGGAATTCCAGCAACTGCCAAGGCATTTCTCAATCCATTGCCCACTATTATTTGCATTCTTTATCACACCATTCATTGCCTGATCTAAATAAGGATAATTTCTTACTTGAACTGGCAGAAAATATCTGCATATTCAGGAAGGATGCCGCTGGCCTGTAGCACTGTCACACGGAAGGTAAACACACCACCCAGTTTCAAGTGATCACCAATTTCCTCAGTGAATCCTTCCATAGTCATCTTCCCATCCAAAGTGGCTGACTTCAAGTCTTAGAAAGACACAAACATGTCATATGAAATAACTTTTTTTTTTTTCCCCCCCCTCTTTCCTTTTTTAAAAATATTCCTTCAGGCAACAATTTAATCCCATCACACTTCTTTGTTTTTCTTTTGAGCCCAAATTATTTGCTGGTAATCAAAAGATCCAAATACCTGGGAACAGTTTTTCTGCACAGTTCTTCAAATGAGTAACTCCAGCATTTATCATACGCAACTCATTGGTTACACCTTTCCTTACCTATTATATTCTGGAATGACACTCAGAACCCCTTTCTATCACTGACTGAAAGTGTCCCAGATTTCCCTTAAGTTCTCCAAAACTACTACATATTTCTGGCTTACCTAGCTCATTCATTCTATTGACCTCCTCTGGAGGAGTCGTAATCTCTGAATTCTGTCCTTGCCCTTCCACAATTCTCAGTTCTTCCAGAGACAGTCCAGACCGAGTCATCGCAACTGAAGAAAAGTCACTCTGAAAAATTAAATGAAGTTACATGTAAAAGACTCCTGCAGTTTCTGGTTTTGCCATGCCCTTCCTCCTCCCACAATAATTATTCTTTATTTAGAAGCACAAACTACTGCACTCAAAGAAACCTAACTCAATTTTAAGACTTACCTTATCAAAATATTCATTGTCAAATGAAATTTTAGCTGTGCCAGACTGTCGAATACCAGATCCATAATCTGGGGCTTCTTCATCAGCTAAAAAAACAGAAAAAAAAAAAAAAAAGAAAAAAAGAAAAAAAAGGATGAGAAGGGAAAAACTCTCAGTCATCTAAATGGAAATTCTGAACACAATGGAAGCCAGTCTGTAAAGCAGATGAGGCCTGGCTCCAGCCATCCAATAATAGAGTAAGTGCTGTAAAAAATCATAGCAGAAATCTATCCCTCATCAACTCAAGTGTGGGAAAACAAGACAAGCTATGAAATTTCATCATGAATATACTTTAGAGGATTTTGAATGTAAAACAACTTTAGTACTCATTTTGATGATTTGTTTACTTCTGATTATTATACCTGAGGTAAATTAACATACCATAATACAACCACCCACATGGAAATATATACTTCCATTGATTTAAACTGCCATCTAAAATTCTGTAGCCACAAACTAAAGCAGTCACACTAGCAAAGCTTCACAAAAACACGCTGTAAGTTTGAAAGGCGGTTCTGTCCATACAATCTGTCCGTTTAACCTCCTCCTCTTTGTGGAGAGTAACAACAGTGAGGCCTGGTTAAACGCCAGATATTTTTTCCACAGTAAATGCATGCTTGCAGGAGAAATTCCAAGATTCAGAATGTGTTCTGAAACTTTGCTTAGGGAACAAATAATGCCATGGCCCTTTTTCAAGAGCTGTCCTCAGTTCAGTTTCTATTAGCCATGGTGTATTCTATTTATTTGGATGGATAAAGAGAATATTTATTTGGAAGTATTTGGTCAATGCTAAGGAGACCAAACCAAATTAGAAATGAGACTTTTGTACATTTTAAAATAGATTTTATTTCACTTGCTGTTTTAGTCCCTGCCAAACTGATTCTTACACATCTTCAGAGTCTGAGATTTCATTATATGTTCCCATGGAGAGTGAAACTTCCAGGGTTACCCTACCTAAACAATAAAGAAATGTTGGCAGTTAGCCACTGCTAGAAAGGACAAGTTATGGGAAGTATCTGTGCTCTCACCAGCATGGATAAGACATGGCTAACTACCAATAGTAAAACTCAACTAGCTCATCCCATACTGGAAAAGTATAAAATAACCCCATATATCTACTGCTGTCTTCTGATAATTCTTGGTGATTAAACAGTATGTTAAAGCAGCTTCAAAGTCTCAACACATTTTAGTGAGGCAATGAAATGGAAAACTGCTGCTGATTTCTGTTTATACTATGCTGAAAATCGTCAGCTCAGGAACTTCTTCACATGCTATTCAATCAGAGAATGGAGAAGCACATTTTTGTGTACTATTTAAAAGGATAGTTTGAGAACAAACGTGGTACATTTAACTTTTCTGCAAGTCATCACAACTATCGCACTTGCATATACCCTTGTCCACTGTTTATACTGGGTGCCAGAAATAAAACCTTTGCTTTATTTTTATTTTTCAGATTTACAGACCCTAGTTAGCCCTTTCACTATCTTAAAAAGCAGTATTGCATTAGTTCCCAGGTATAAACTTCAGCGGTCAATATTATAATTTTAAAAGCTTCTGATCAGTAGCATTATTGCAAGATTTACCTGTGCTTAGTCCATATGATTCACATCAATTAAAAAAATTTCAAAAGCAAGTTAATAATAAAGAACAAGTGTTCTTTGCAACACTAAAATTATTCAGGTTTGAGCATGAGAGAACAGTTTGATTTGTTTGCCTGTTTTTTAGAGCTGCAGCTATTCAGTGTACCAAAGAGTTGTGATGTAAAGCGCTCAGAGCATCTCACCTGCTATAGCTTGCACTGCTACTCGCAGAAATCCTCGTACTTCTCCTTTCTCACTAACAACAGCTACTCTGTGAATAAGAGGCACCGGGTACAGGAGATTGCTCAGGTATACAAATGCTCTGGTAACAGGAAGGAAAGAAAACACAAACAGCATTAGGCAATCATCTGCAAAAGCAAACTGCAATATTTGGTTGGCTAATTGGGACATTCAAATCTTCAGACAGTCTACTTTACTCCATCTGTTAGACCTGCAGTGTGGTCACATATCCATATTGTCCACACAGGGCTCTTCAGAAGAGTCAAAGCTAAGTGAAGCCACAAAATGTTCTAAATCAGAGTATACTGGAGACACAGGGCTTATATGAGTGAGTTACAAAACATATGAAGGACACAATTTAAGACGATGGCTTTATAAAAGGTAATTTTAGATGCACTACAGTTGTAAATGGAGCTGTTAGCAAGATGGTACTCTACTAAGGAGCTACTGATTATAAAGAATTGTTTTGAGTTTTCCACCCCATGAGTGTAGTTTGAAGTGATAAATTAAAAGGGAATCGATCTACTGTGTTCACACAGCCTCAAATATTTTCCTGAGCATATAAAAACACTCTTCAAAACAGACTGACTGTTTTCTCTCTCCTACATACATTTGGTAACAGTGTATACAGAGTAATCAGAAATGCCAAATAAACCATAAGTCATCTCTTGGTTTCTTGGAATTTTCACTGAGTGTACAGATAGTGGAGGATTGATAGTCTTCAAAGCTAAATATCTTTAGGAGTATTATATTTATTTCTTAAAAAACAAAACCAAAAGAAAATAAAACCCCAAACCACTACAACAGTACTCTAGAGAAACAATTTAGAAATTACAGTTTACAATAAGAAAAGCAGCATTTAGGCCCAGTATTAGGACAATCCTCCCATACACTCACTTTTAAAGTTATATATAAGCAGGGTCTAGTTTGGAACAGTAAGTTAACAAGTTTTATTGGATTTTTAATTAGAAGTTCAACTAACATTATTATTTTATGTTTCTGCAATGAGTTGCAAAAGTCCTTAAAACACTACACTTCAGTGTGATTAGCCTGAGCAAAACTGGAAATGTTGAGAAGCCTAACAAAGTCAGGAAAAGAATGGCTCTCAACAAGGGGAAAAAAGGGAAGGCTTTATTAAGTGAGCTGTTTGAGTTCAGAAGAGCACTGAGATGCATAGGAGTTTAACCAATAGTTTTACCAGTCATTAAATTTAAAGTGACTAACCAATTATACATGTAATTATTATGAATTTATGCATATTAAATTCTACTAAACAGCAGTCATTTGTTTAACTGGATTTCCTTCTTGCAGTCCTTTTTATTAATCTTTATCATTAAATATAATTAATTCCTCAAATAACTGCTATTGTTTAATATTCATAGGGGAAGTCCTGCATGACAAAAGGAGACTGAGAGAGAAATAAAGATGTTCGCTGCCTCTGTCTGGAGATATCAGCCATAGAATTTGTTCCATGACAAAGTCAGAAAATCTAAGTGTTTCTCCTTGGATTTACATGCCCGTTCCCAGAATGAATGAATGATCTTGAAATGACAAGGTAGTCAAACAGGTGTCAGCTGTCAACCAAAGAGACAAAAATAATGCTACTAAAAAACAGAGTGTTGACAAAATGCAATAGAGAAGAGAATGGTTAATAAGGCTACAAAACAGCAAACCAAAAAATTAAAAAAAAACATACAACAACAAAAAAACTGCAACGTAACACTTGACTAAGATTAGGAACTCATTCCTTTTCAGTCTGCTGCAAAGTGAGGTAAGCACTGATAAAGCAGGGGAAGGGAGGAAAGATTAAATTTAAAGTAACAAAATGGGAAGTTTAGTTTTGGTTTTTTTTTTCTCTCAAATAAAGCATTTTCATTTTTAGCTTTGAAATTTCAGGTGGTGCTCATTTGCAGTATCCCACCACACTAGAAAACAGTCCTCCACACCAACAAACTGGAATTGTTCACTTGGACTGGACCAGGGATGGAGTTCAGGAAGGTATGTAGTTATATGCTCAACACGCAAAACACAGGTAGTTTGAAAACCACATTTCAAGCTGGAGAGAACAGACATTTTTCCCCGAACAGACAGGAGCCTAAATAGCCTTGCACTGATATGTATACAGTAAGAGACAGTTTCACTGAGACAATCACTATAGAAGCTTTCCTACTTCAAAGCCAAACAAGTGGAAAGTGAAAGCATGAACTGCATGAAAAATAAAAAGATATTTTTAAATTTGCATGGCTAAAGTTCTGAAGCTGCTGTCCAGCATATGACAGCCAAAGCGTTCAGCTTCATTAGCAACTACAATTTTGTCACCTCAGTAAAATGACAATCACAAAGGAAAAAAAAATGTTTTTCATCTTCCTTAACTTCCTTCCATCCAGTCACCGAGCTCACTGGAATCATTTTACCTTAGACAAAGAAAAGTACTTAATGTAAAATGTTTTAAGCTCCCTGTTTGGTGATGAAAATGCTGGATCTCTTCTGTAGAAGGGAGAGCAATAGCACATCTGCTGTACAGAGAAAAGAGCTGGTTTATGCAGCAATGCTGCCTTCCAGTGCCATTCCATCTGCTTCATCACAAGACAGTACCAAGTTAGGAGTGGATGAAATCTTAAAGTTATCCTCCTCTTCCTCCTTCTCCCACATCTGGGAGGACTCCCACTCCCCAAACATCCCATAAGCAAGTGTCCCCCCTGCACCTTAGCCCAGCAGACTGAAAGAGGGGGAGCTGTATTAGCAGAAAGATTGGTGAGGTAAAATGGCATACTCACAACAAAACTAGAAATGAAATTTAACAAACACAATTGTTTCAAAAAAATCAAAACAAAAACAGAACTTGGAATGATGACAGGTGTTTTTGAAATAAACACATGAATTCAAGATTTAAATAAAATATCCCATACTTTTCTCCCACCTCCCTTAAAAACACAGCAAAGGCTTGGTATGCCACACCATGAAATAGAATCAGCCTTAAAAACAGCCCAGCATGCCAGAAGAGATGGCTAAAGGGACCAGCTCTTTTCTTCCTTTCTTTAATTGTTACAGTACAAATAAAAGATAGTCACAGCACAGAGAGAGAACAATAATACTGTGATGCCCAAGGAGCTGGAGAGCTACCTGATCAACTTCTCATCCCCTCCTTCATGACCTGGACTCATTACTGCCGATTACTCCCTCAAAAAATATTTTAAATTATTTTATTTTTGTCCTATACATTCCACAACATATAACACAGTGCGCAGTTAAAAGTGGTAAAGAATTCTGGTTTCATTATAAATTGAACACTACCTTGTGCTCAAGACAGTATCTATGCAGATGGACATACCCTCTGATACTTGTAAGACACACTGTTCAAAAGTAGAATTCTCATGCTGGAAGACACTGAGGAATCAAAATAGTTTCTACTCAGTGGTGCTGAAGAGTCTAACAGCTTTCTGCTGACAGAATTAGCACAACAGAAGAACAGAACAGAAACAGAACACAATAGAAACCAACAACTGGGAAAGTCATTCAAGCTGCCTACTCAGATAATACAAACTATGTTTCATTCCTCAATACAATTCACAACCCAAGCAGAGTTCCTCAATACGTGCAGCTTACATGGTTCAGGCGAGTACCCTGAACTGCTGCAGCTTCATATGTCTGTCTGTATAGACAGAGCTCAGTATTCTTTTTAATCTACGGAAACAGGAATCAAGTTGTGTAACTGCCAGGAAGCACAACTGCTTCCATTATACGCTGTATTTGCTCAGCTTGTGTTGTGCTTCCTGAAGAGTCTGTGAAATGAAGATGAATAGCTCAACTTTTTCCCAAGCACTGAAGGTCCTGCTCTGAAAGAACATACACAACAGGAGAACACGCCGTGTGTGCCAGCACTGTTACAAGACAGCAGTCCTAGCCATTGCAACCAGCACACATAGGCTTTAACTAGCTGATAACCACTTCCAAGCCAGTTAAGATGGCTTTCCCAAACTGACTCTCATGGATCAGATTAACCTAAAATAATTAAATTCTATAAAACACATTATCAGACATGGCGCATAAGGGCACAAATTCACAGAGATCAAAGAGGATTAACTAATGCAATTTCTTGCATCTTTAGTAACTTTTGTTTCAAAGACTAGATCAAGAAAGTTCCAAGTTTTAATCACAGCTTGTAAACAGGTCCACTAAAGACAAAGAATGAGGTTAGACAATACAGCTAAACTGAGCTGAAGGCTTGATAGAAGACCAACAAGCTCAGTCCTCCGTTTTTACAAATAATGTAATCCAGTTTCCTGCATTTGTGGAAACTGCAAAAAGATCCTGCCTTCCTGACCATGAAGTCTTCCCTGCTTACAGCCACAGAAAAGGATAAAGGCAAGCTCTGGACACTTCTTTGTTCCTCTCTTACGACAGCCGCTATGTCTTACCCTCTTTTGTAGAACACTTCCTTCCTGTAGATTGGCTTACAGAGTTATCAAATAAGCAAAAAAGCATAATTGGAGGAGTGGGAGCAGAAAAGCAGGGTGGAGCAAAGTCACTAGATAAAATCTTTCTGTTTCTTGTCATGAGTTACATGTTTGAGCGAGACTATCTGTGAAGAAACAGTGCCAAATATTACATTTTTTTAATGCAACTTGCTGTCCTTAGGGTCTGTGCCACAGACTGAGGTCTGATAATGCCTTAATCACGTCTTGATTGGCAAAATAGATAATACTCTAAAATACATTAAGCAAACTCATCAGAAATTCAAGCACAGCACATGGGGAAATGCTGATAAACACCACCAGTCAGTGATTTTTAATGATGATGATTTTTCAGGACGTAATACTTGCTACCGAGTCATGCATAATCTGAGAAGCCAAATCATCAGAAAGAATTTTTTTTTTTTCCTCATCCAGAAAGCACCATTCTTCTTTCTCCTCATGCCATCTTTTCAGACACAGAGGATGTTAGATGAGTTTTCAAAAAAATGGATTTACTGCACTGGACTTAATGACTTTCCACTATACTCTGAGATTCTCTTCTACGGGAGAAATGACATACTGCGATACTATCCTAGTGATCTTGCAATTCTTCTAAATAATGCTTCAATACTGTACACAAGCAAAATCACATGGATTCTATGTTGTGACAATCATCTAGAAATAGAAATATATTTACTCACATTGTCACATCTAAGGGTTATTTTCTTAATTATTATTTAGGCCTTCATGGCCTCTGACACAGGAATTTAAAACCTAATGTTAAACTACACTCATTCTTTGGCAATTCCAATTTATATACCTACATATTTTGGCTGGCTTGACAAATATTCTATGCAGCACAAGGCAAAGCCATTGCAGCCTACAGTAAGAGCTGGTCCCTTTTGGCCATTCTCACAGTAACCTCACCAACCTTCCCACTAAAATGAACCAAGGGGATCGGTCGTAAAACGGGTCGCGCCCATCATTGAAGAGGTCTGATCCCTCCTCAGTTCCAACGTCGGAGCCAGTATCATCCACAAAGGCCTCATCATCAAAGTCCTCCATCTCATCCTGCTGTTCATCAGCCAGTTCAGTGATGTCGGAGTCAGCCGTGGAGAAAGTGGGGGAGGGCGTGCGATCAGCAAGACGCTCATTCACGCAGCCATGGAATATGGGGGAGCTAGATATCAGTTAACGGAACACCAATTAACAGAGTGAGGGGGAAAGAAGAATGCTTCATTTAACAGCTGTCTGTTGCCATCAGCACAGAGACCACCTGAACATCACGCAAAGGCTTCAAACCATTTGGACTGCAATGAAACGTAAGGGAAGGGATTGCTAACGAAGTCAGGAAAAAGAGCATCCATCAACTGAGCAGAAAGCAAATGAAAAATTAATACAAACATGGTCGAACACATAGATATTGAGAGCACACCCATTTAACAGACTGCAATTCCTATTTCCAACATCTAGCATTTCTGTAAATAAAAATACTGTAAAGGTATAGCCGACGCTAGGAAATATTAAAGAATCCCATCAGGTAGTAGGTCCTGGGTATGAACAAACTATTTGAACTCTATGTAAGTAAGACCCTGGGCCACTTCTCCCCTCAGTTACCAGTGTTCTTCATATTCTCACAGCTCTGCTCCAGTGACTTTAGATAGAACTTAGTAAGTTATAAGTTTATTTTTAAAAAAGGTAGCTAACTAAGGGTTCAGTCAAATCAGATTCTACGAAGTTACACCAGAACTGGCGACATTCTAAAGAGCACTTTCTGCTCTTCACTGTATTTTAAGTCTATCGGAAATCCTTGAAAGACAACACACAACTAACACTAGTGTCCACACCATTTATAGCCACATTCAAAGTCAAAGTTCATCCAGAACTGACAGAGTTACCATCGTACCAGCAGTTGAGATTATCATCACATACCTTCCAACCAGCTTGAACCAATGAAAGCGATCATAAAAGGGGTCACTGCCTGTCATTGTGCTTTCACTCTCATCCTGTGTATTAGATGCCATTTCCCCAGCTCTGTCATACATCTCACGCATCAGGTCCAACCTCTGCCTGCATTGAAGAAAGCAGGATTTAAAAATTAATAGACAGCGAATAAAAAAGCAGAGAACACAAAGTGGAGTACACTGACTTCACCTACAGCAAATTACACATAGGAAAGGGCAAATAAAGAACAGAGGAGTCTGTACTGTACTAATTCTCTGACATATTAGGGATTATAGGAAAAATTTTGTGGGCTAAACCCGCTAAGCACTCTCTATTTAAGCTTTTTATTAAAAATTATGCCCTATACTATTAGGCTGTATAAAAGCAAGTGGCAAGGAAACTTTTGCAGGGAAAGGCACATGAAAAAAAATTACGCAGAGAGATGAGCTGTGATGAGCCTTATTAGATCTGAAAAGCAAAATCTAATCTCACCATACAAGAATTAAATGTGGAGGTGAGGCAAGATGCTGGAGAACAAATGCACTTGTTTGAAGAATCTAGAAAGCTGGTATTTACACATACCACACTGTCTGGAAAGTTGGCATTTGGGACAACACAAAGAAGTACAACAGAGAAAACTGCAAGGGGTGAAATTTTTCAGTGAGCTCCTTGGATATAAAGAAGTTCATTCTCCAGTAATATTTACATACTTAAGTTTTTCTAAGGACCAGTAATGTGTTGCTCCGTTCTTCAGATCCTGGACTTCCACAGCCACCACTGTACGAGGGAAAGGCCTGTTGTCCCGAGTCTTCTCCAACTCAGTGGGCAAAAGCTCTGGTGGTAGTGGTGAGTAGAGGGTGTCTGTCAGCAGGACAAACTGAAACTGCACCTGAATGGAAAAACAGAAGTCACCTTAGTTCTGAGAAGTCAGATACCAGTATCACAAAGGGGACAGAGACCTAACCTAAGGCAACGTATGAAGCCAGTTTGACTTTCATTTCTGTGAACAGATTCAGGGGGTTTTTTTAACTTCACTTTTTTTTTTTAATGTCTCAAAATGGCATAAAACATATTTTTCAGCTGAGTACACATATCTTGCCTTTGTCATCACAGACAGCAAAAGCCTGGAAAACTATAGACCTAGCACATCCTGCAGCACTAACTTCTCTTGAATAGATTAATGACGACATGAAGTTAAAAGCAAAAAGGAAAATACAGGGCCCTGGGGAGATGTGCATATACATGTGTTTATGATATTGAGAGGAACAGCATAAGGGAAATGAAGAAGAGGAGAATATATCAACCAGATTTGCATGTTATGTTCATTCAGCCAGAAGAATTCTGAACAGAGACTTACAAATTTCTGAACCCTTTTAAAGCCCAAACTAATAAGCAAGACATATATAACTTTAAAGATTACAAGTAACTCTGAGCATTTGAAGCAGGATTACGCAGTCAAAACTAATGAGTCAGGAAATTAAAAAAGATACTCTGCATGACCATACCTTTTTCTTTAACTCTACACTGATTGCATTGGCTTCTTTCAGATATACTGCATTTCCCCAGAGCTGGTCCCTCAGTGAAGTAAATTGGTGAAATTTCCACTTCCTGAAAGCCCACTGTGCAAGTTCATACTCATGACGTGTCCAGGGCACTATAACGAGCAAAGAAACAGAGAAATAAAACACTGCAGCTTCTCCAAACCATCACATGCAGTATCTAATACTACTGCTGACTGTGTCATCAAGTTCTCAACACCTTTTCTGGAAGAGAAGAACAGAAAACAAAAACCTGCATTTTTATTATTCACTAACTCACTATTTTTCTGTTACACTAGCATTAGAGGTATAATGATCAAGTAAGGAGATTTGGAACAGAGAAAACAAAATAAATTCTACTCCTATTATTTTAAATTAGTTAACAATTATTAAAACCAAATGCTGAAATAGTGAAAAGAAAGCAAGTCTTATGGGAATAATAAAACTCCATCTACTGTCCAGAAACACAGTTATACAGCATGAATTTTAAGAATTCCTACCAAGGAGAAAAAAAGACACTTCAAAATAAAAAAAAAAGGAAACAAAGGCAACAGTTACTATTTTAGTTTAAGACATCTGAACTCTGTTACTGCCAAGAAGAGATTCCTTCAAATTCAAGACTGCTAGATCAAATCTTGTAATTAAACTAATGTAGTTTGTGTATCAATTGAATTTGGGGATGTATATTTACTGTTTTTCTGAAACTTATTCCACAAATACATATTTTACATCTGTCTGCTATGAAAATTAAAGATCAAGAAGTTAAGTGTTTCACAGCTTTCCAAAACAAGTTTTCTATCTATTACAAGAAATACCAACTGTTCCTTTAGGCTTGGCTATATCCAAATTCCTTTTAGTTTCAAACTCACCTTCTTCCTCCTCCTCTTCTTCCTCTGTTGTTTCAGCTGCCAAGGATCGTGTCTCTACCTGCTTCTGTAAGGCCTGCAGCTTACTCTCATAGTCCTGTGGGGAGAGAGGAGATATCGTGTAGGAGGACAGACAAAAGCAAGGAGAACAGTTAGGAGAGACTAACAACACCTCAGATGGAGTGACAGGCACAGAGAACAAATACATAAAGCCTTTTCCATTAATGCTCAGAGGTCACATACCAAAATCTATTGTTTTAGTATAATCGGTCCTTGAAAAGAGAGAAGACAGAAGCCAATACAATTAAGACAGCAATGTTGTTTTTTTAAATCATCAGATATACATGCTCATAGTATCTGTAAGAGAAAAAGGTTTAGGATTTTTTTTTTTTTTTGCTGAAGACTGGAAAAAGGGAATTTTTGGGCACCCACTTGCTGCTTCCAAGGGCAAAGGATAGAGGCAGAAATGAGGAAAGTACATAAATAAATTTAAACGGGGAGGATTATTCACCTTCATTTTCTCAAATAGAAGGATTAACAGCACCACTGATTTGCCTTTTGATACAAAAAAATTCATTTCAGATTTTAGGAGAAAAAAAAAAAAAGAGAGACATTCTGTTTTCAATTAGATTTTCCTCTTGGAATTAAATATCACCCTCTCACATGCGTATTTAATATATCAGAAGATGAAAAAAATACCACCGCCCTTTCATGCAGGCAGAGAAGTCTGTGTAGAGGTTTCCCCACAAGAAGCACTTCAACAATAGCTTCTGGCGTAACAGCATTTTCTTCCTGTGCCGCATAATCACGCCTTGAAATAAATGCTACTAAGACCTAATGACCCTTTTATTATTTGCTGGTAAAACAAATACAAATTCAAGATATTTAGAACAGACACAGTCACAGCACTCCTGATCTCAGAGCCTACTTTACTACTGTATTTTATTTTTTTGAAGATAATATTTTGGCATATACTATACAAATTAAACTGGCTTCTCAGGATTTTTATGAGGGTTGCAACAGCAATTCACTAAGAATGTTACAGAGTCCTTACGGAGAATTCTTGAAGCCACTCATCTTGTACTCCAACCTTCTCTCTTCCACAGTCCCAAATCCTAAAATTCTTCTCCAATGTGCTGTTTGCAGTAATGCATTAAATCTAATGAAGGAAAGCTTTACATTGTCCTCCCCTCCTATGTAAGCATTCCATCTAAACAGCTACATCACTCTGTTTTTGTACAGCATATATAGTACTTAACACTGCCACAATGTGATTGCATCAAATTTAACACAAGTTCTGTCAGAAAGTCCTTTAGACAGTATCTGGAAAGGAGATAAACTTGAAATATGTTCCTTTACAAGTAGGATTTCCTAGAGGTAGCATTAAAAAACAGTAGCTATGATCTATTGCAGAATTTGCAATACCTTGAATTCAACATCCATGACCTTTAAGGAGAGAAAAGTGAACTATTAAAGATATAAAACCTTTTGTATCAGGATTGCATTTTAATTTTCTAAATTCCTCCTGAAATTTTATTTGGCTAAAATGCTCCTTCTTCATTTCTGTCTGCTCCATTAACTCCAAGATGGCTACATACTTACAGTGTTAAATAAACCTTAGTCCAGCAGTAAAAGATGTATGGACAAAACAAACATATATCCTTTGCTTTGATACTCCTTCTAAAATTCTCCTTAATTCACCATAAACTATTCTAGACTTGATGAGGTTTCAGACTTATCTATAGTTCTGAAATACTCAGCATAATCTTAAAGATTCATTAACACAAAGGGATGCTCTCTGATCTCCCCCCCTGCCCCGTCCATGTAGATAATGCCATCATATTTGAAATCAAGACAAAACAGGTCAGATGCAAAGTGACAGAAACAAGCTTCTCTTACTTGCAAGGAAATGCAAAATAAATTATTCTCCTGTAGCCTGAAGTAGATAATCTGAGGGTGTCATTTTGAGTGGCTAGATTGTAGAAATGAAGAAATTAAAAACTCTTCAAGTAGTATCTTTGATCAGATTCTTTTGGAGAAATTGAAAAGGCTGCAGAGGGGAGTGTCACAAATCAGGAGCATTCAACTTTGAAAATTCTATTTCCAGCATGAAAAACTCAGACATATTAAATTAATTTAAAGACAAAGACCTGCTTCTTGTCTTCTCTATTTACAGATTTGTGAGCTAAGTAAGTGTATCTTCTATACATTTAAATACCTAGAGAAACAAATGCTTAATATAAGCAGACACTTTTCATTGACTCTACACTAACAAACATTACTTTTAAAACTAAGTAAATGAAAAAAAAGAAACAGGTACCATTTCCCTAAGCAGAAAAACAGGACTAAGACTGCCTCCTGGCACTTGATACCATGGTAGTATTTAAAACTAATTGGCATTGAGCAATAGGTGAAGGATGAATTTCAGGTTGGTTCATGGAGAAGGTACGCTGCCCGCTCTGTAAAATGGCTTGGTTTGCTCTGCTGAGAGATTTGTCAGCTCTCTGGGTAAACATTTCCAGATCTGATTAGTGATAATACACACATAATTGTTAGTACTCACGTAAAGGTGCCTCAACTGCTAGAAGAGAAAAAAACCTGCATCTAGAAGCTGCCCTAAAGGTCTATGCCCTCGACACCTTAGAACCCAATGCACGTTGCTGAACAGCTTCAAACTAGCTGATATCATTAACTCCATGAATGTGGAGAAAGGGAATGCAAAATTTATTTTGCCCAGAGGCATGGAAATATCTAAAGCTACAACAATAACAGATTTTTGGGGCGGGGACACACACACACCCCCACCAAACCAACCAAACAAAAAACCACCACTCACACTAGGCCAAGCTTTTTAAGACAAGACTGAACCAGCTTTTTAAGCAGAACACTGTACCATAACAACTTAGATTTTTTGGATCTATGTCATGTTTGCAAAGGTACTGTAGTGTATGTGATTCCTTCCTGTATTTGAAGTATACAAAAAAGACAGTTTCTTTTGTCTTCAGTAGAGCAAATAAATAGAGAACAGACATTTTCTTCCAGAATTTAGGTAAATAACACACAACATGGTACAACGGGACAACACTGAAGAGGAGTATGGTTTGCATCCCATTGAGTGATAAACAGGGGTTTTTTTTGGTTTTTTGGGGTTTTTTTTTAAAGTTATGTGACTGTAGACACAAATCTGCGTAGGCTGCTCTTCACATAACAGCAGAAAAATCAGGGGATGGACTTACAAGAATCACACTGAGGAATAATTAAACAAACCTTTTTAACTCTGCTAGAACAATACCAACGCCAAGATGAAAAAAATAAAAGCAGGACACGCCTGCAATCAAGTTTCATTTCCATTTCACTGAGACAAGTCTGACACTTACAAGAGTATTTCATAGTTTATTGAAAGAGCACTTGTTACAATACAAACCAGTTCTGCTTTTCACAAGGCAGATGCTTGCTCTTAAAGACAGTCCAAAACTTGGTTTTTTCTTAAACAACGGACAGATCTGAAAATCCCATTTAATTCAAAGGCAGCTCATGGCTTTCTTTACAGTACAAAAGGGTACACAGCATTGATTTCTCATGTTGCAGCTCCTGAAGTGGTTCAATGGGAAATATCCAAGTCAAATTTCAACATATAAACAAAAAATAACAAATTTCAACATATAAAAGATAAAGGACAACCAGTGAGGGAAATAGTGAAACTATGCTGAAAGTATGATAAAAACAGCATCCTCTAATTTGACAGATCCCTAAATTTAGACTGCTTGAGAAAGGATGTGGAAGTCAATCAGAGGAGCATTAGTGGCATGCAATTCCCCCCACACCCACCCTCCAAATCCACGTGTCCCTAGTGAGTCCTAAAGGATATTTAAGAAATCACCACCAAGGCACAGGTGGGTACAAGCCAGCTGTCCAAGCACACAGCACATCAGCACTTAGCCATGGCAATTACACTTACTAAAACAGCACTCCCACTGTGGATGCCATACTTCCATTGACCTGAAAGCCTTTTCACACAGCTGTCTATGGAAGCAGCTCTATTGCTGTTCATTACATCCATTAATACACAATTTGGAGTGAGAGGTGTGTGTATTTCTGAATAGTGTAAGGAGATCCACAAGGTCTCCCATTATTTCCCTTATCAGATAAGGCACTGCACTGTAATTAATATTTGATTCTTAAAGTGAGCAATTATTTTTATAGGACTTCCCCCACC